TTTGCACATTTGATAATTTCTGACTGCGAATCCAAATCAATTTGCTGGCCATCAACGCCCATGAGGTTGAGGTTGTCAGGTCTGACCTGGAAAGCCTTTTAGCCCAACATTTGCCTTTCCTACGCCCTCCGCACAATTTCCTCCCAATTTCCCGCACCCTTCCTGTGGATCCTTGACTGTGCTTATTATTTTATGCCTGGACGAACGGTCAGACGGTGTCATGTTGTTGCCGGCCCCTTGGATTTTTTGATAAATTTTCCATATCGTTAGCGGCAGCAGCTGATGGGGAACGAGAGGGGCAGCAAGGACCCTTTAGGGTTTCAGGGTCCGTTTTAAAGGGTGTTTCTCCCCGTTTTGGCTTGCTCTTTTTTGTTCGGGCTAGCTGCACAATTTGTTGTAATACAATATTTTGGCCATTAGCAGCCAGAAGTTGGGAGCAAAACAGGCAAATGGCCACTGACTTTGTTTGCTGCGCAATGTTTGCTTGCTTTTTTCCTGGGCTTCTGCTTCTGTTGCTTACACTTTGAACCTTCGCACATGCCGCAAGTGGTGGATGGAAATTCGAGAGAACTGAGGTGCAGGATATCGAATCAAAAAATAAAGGGTAAAGCTACCTCTCACATTGCGTCCTCTGATATACAAGACAAATCAATTTTTAGTATTTCACATTAAAGACATGTATGTCTCTTTAAGTTCAATGCCCCTAAGCATCGGAGTTAAATTCAGATTATAATAATAGCTAACTACTTTTGTTTATAGAATGTACAGTCTTACATTACCTATTTAAAGTAATTAATGGATTAAGTGCTTTTTAGCCGTTTATTTTATTTCTCATTAGTTCTCATAAAAATTGTAATTAATTTTGTCTAAAAATTAAATAAGTTTTGTTTTGTTTTTAAAAGGGTATCCCATGCATGTCCTGAATCTATGTGACTCGACCAGTATGTTTAGGAATTTTTCTGGTTTGACCCAATCGTAATCTGACCAAGTTGAGGAATTATGCTTCGAATATTTTTGGGCATAACCTCACACATCTCCTTCATCTTGTTTTCTGTTTTTTTACCCTCCTAACTCCCAGTCGTTGACTGCTTAATGGAACGTAAAGTCTGCATGATTAATAGGCGTCAGTGGGTCGTCCGTCTGAGCCTCGTCAGACATTAATGCCAAATCCTACCGAAGCCCAAAAATATACACTTTTTGTGCTCTCTCTACGCCTTAATGATTTCAATAAAGCAACACAAAAAAAATGCCCAAAAGAAGTCAACACACGGGACTTTTATTTTGTTTCAATTTGCTTAGGGGCGTTTTCGGACCGGATCGGACCAAATTGAACCGAACTGAACCGAAAAACCGGGTCCCAAACTGTTTGCCTTGTCCAGTGACTTTGTGAACTTCTTGGCTTCCTTTTCTATCCATTTAGACATTGATTTTAATTGTTCATTTCAATTAAATAAATTTCACTATGCTTTATATTAGATTTTCATACAAAAATCTATATTACCAAATATAGTAAACTTATATTCATAATGTAATTCAAGGGTAGCTAATTACTAATATCAAATCAGTTTAATTTTATCAAATCCATCAATTTTTTAATTTTGTCAAATGAAAATAAATCGTCAATAAAACCCATAAAGTTATGTGTTCATGGAAAATACCCCAGTATAGTTTTCATCAACCAATTTATATAATTTATATAAATTAGACACCAAACACATTTTATGCTATTTGTTCCATCGCAATGCTGTCACGTCAACGTAAAGTGCCCTGAAATATGTACGAATGTTTTGGATTACAGTTGATGGGCATTCGCACTCCCCCTATGATTTATTTCAGTTTGAGGCACCTCTACTACCTGCTGCTTATGTCAACGACAATAAATAAAAGTAGGAAAAACAACAATGAGCAAAGAAAATAGAAACAATCGAGGAGCTTCCATCAATTGGGCAAATGCAGAGATAAACTTCAACAAAAGCTTAGTGGCTCAAAATGTTTTTGTCTGGCAAACACAGGACATTGATACGACCGTGTGTGTATTTCCCATCTATTGCAACAATCTGGGTGTGCGTGTGTGAATAATCAAAACAAATACAAGCCAGGGGAAAAGAACACTCCCCACACACAGAGACTCAGTTGCTTTGGCCATTGTGGCGACACAGTTTTATTTAAACAAAAGCCTACTTGAGCTTATGCTCAGTTTGCCAGCAACAATTTAATAGCATCTATGGACGAGGGGAATCACGAAAATAAGTACACAGTGTATACACATGTAGCCCGTAATGCCCACATATGCATCATGTGATGGGTAGTTTTTTGGTTGTATAAGTTTTCTATGACAATGTGCGAAGGAAATATATTTTTTCACATAAATAAGGTTTTTTTTTATCCTTGAAATATTTATTTTATCTCGAAAGAGTCTTACAAAAATAAATAGGAGCAAAACGAATTCTGATTAATACTCGTAAATCCAACAGTAAAGAAAATACAGCATACTTATAAGCTGAAGTTTGTGATTTGGATTCGCAATCTGGTTTACTTTGATAAATTTTAATCAAAGTTAGCTAGCTCTCACTTTTTAAACACTTTGAAGCCCCAAACAAAATGAAATTCACATCAATTATTATTACCAGGAAATATAGGTATAATAAGAGAGAGAGCCTTGCCGCATTTCATATGATTATTTTGACCCCTGTCGATTTTTCTCGTTTTTTTTTTGAAGTGAGTCAAGGGCAATTTCCACTGTGGGTCGGACTTGATTAATGGGAAATTGTGTTACCGACTAATGAGGGAGGTGGGCGGCAAATGGGCGATATGGATATATATCCGTAATATATATATGTAAGAAGAAAAGGAGAATCAGGTGGAGCTGTTTTATTTGCGTTTAAGCATTATTTTTTGCCAAAATTCAATGAGAACGAGCCGAATTTCCAATGAAATTTTAACGAATTTCATATTTACAGTTAGCCCGGGGTGGGTGGGCGTTTTTCGGGAGACGCTGTCAGAAGCAATCAGGCTGCAGGCGCTGCTCGGCAATATCAAAGAGCGTATTAACATGCAAAGCAGGGCCCACAACCAGAGCCAAAGTCAGAGCGCAAAAAAATGAAAAGTAGTCGGTGTGGGTTGCAAAAAAATACAAAAACACAAAAAATAAGAAAGGAGAAAAAAACAGACTGGAAAATAAAGAGACGCGAACTTGACTTGCCACAGAAGGCGCAACAAAATTGAAAACCATTAGGATTAATATTTAGTTGAAAGATTTGCGTGTTAAGCCATTTTTACATGGCTGCCTTCGGCTGCCTCCAATTGCTAATGTAGTTTATGTGTAGGAGTGGGTGGTGCCTGGATGGTGGGATATCTGGATGGCTCTTTGGTTCTTGGGCTCTTTGGCTCCCAGGGAGTATCCCTAACGCTAACTGACGTTGGCTTCTGCTGCGGATGCTGTTACTGCTGTTACTGCTGTTAGGCTTAAGGCGAGACGCACAAACGACATGTAAAATGTGACATTTTAATGTATGCAAATGAGACGTTGAATTAAGCCAACGCACCCACACGGAGATAGAGAGAGAGTGAAGCGAGGGGACAGAATAGCAGAGGAGAAGGATATAGGGGAGCCGAAGAACCTGCAGATCCCCGCTGGTGTGCAAACATTCACTTGGCTCCATATCCGTTTCCGCTGCTCAGCGTTCCCCATCCCCATCTCCTTTTAGCTCTGCTCTGCCTTTTGTGATATGATTTGAAAATAATGAAAAGACAGTTACAGACTTTCCCCGCAGCTTTGGCCACCCCGCTTTTTTGCCACTCCTATTGGTAACCCCCTCACGTTCCGGCCCTGGCGGAAATGTCAACTTAACTGGCTTGAACCCCAGAAAAATGCGACAAAATACAACACCAAGGATGATTGAAAATATTATAGATAACGAGATATGAAAAAAATATACCCTTAAAAGAATAATTCAAAATAAAGATGGTAAAAAAAGTTATAGATGAAATATTTAAAACCTAATAGTATTACAAATAATATAATGCTTTATTCAGTAGGAATAAAATCCCTAAATCATATAGAAAAAATTGATTAATTTACATTTAATAGTTTTCAGATCACTTATATTAGTCCAGCTTTCTCAAGTCAAAATTTGTGCAACTAGCCTCCCATTACTACTGCACCAAAAAAAACAGAAATAAGTACAAACAATCCTCAGCAAGCCCAAAGTGCGGACTTCTTGACCAATTTATTAATTTCTATTCCGACTGCGTCCCCCAATTTGTCCTTATCGGCCCCTTTGTCTTTCGCCAATGGACTTGTTCGATTGTTTTGGTCTTTGGCTTTCAATTTGTTGATTGTTTTTCTTGGGATTTTCCCAGGAATTCATTTTGAGCGAACTGGATTTCCGTCCACAGAAACAATGCTGTAAAAATGTTTGATTATGAAATGCGTAAACTTTGTGTTTGGCCTTAGATTTTCTGAGAAATGCTGGGAAAACATTTAAAATATTTGTTACTTCACTTGAAAGTTCTCGGAAAATGCGTGGCGTAATTCTTTGGGGGCGAAAGAAAAAGTATTGTTGAAAATTCTTTTGTTTGGCGAAGGGTTTGCTTGAGGAAGTAGTAAAGAAGTATTTCAAGATTATAAATAGATTTATCGGCATTCGAGTGGGCCTAATCAGTACCCTAATCAGGACCCTAATCAGTAAGTTTTATATTACAGTACCAGGTTGTCCAGTGAACACTTTACAAAATATTCCCTTTTAATTATTAAATTTTAATAGTCCCCTTAGTTTATCTCATGGGCAAACTTGTATAATTAGATGCCCTCTTTAAATTAATGCCAACTAAGGCTTACATTTGCCATTAGTGCTTGGATATGTTGTTCAGCCAAATATTTGTAAATAAATAAAACAGAAAAAAGATGCTCACAACCCTGGCCTGGGCATTAATTATGAGCCATTTGAAATGGGTCCCAAAGAACCTTTTGTATGTTCAGAGGGAGATTTATAACTCACCGATTAGGACTAGTATCACATGTAGGATGTACCAGATCTGCAAGCTCGTGGCCGCCGTCCTTCCCGTGGCCGATTTTCTCGCTCCCGGAGCCTGTTGCTCCACCCTCAGCTGCTGGTGGCATTGGTGGTGCTCGGTTTTATGGTGGTGCGGCAGCTGGTGCTGGGTGAAGGGATCCACTGCACACATCTTGGCCTCCGTTAAATGCCCCAAATGAGCCACGCCCGCACGCACTAATGTCTTTATTAATTTCGGTGTGAAAATTTCACTTATTTCATTTGGACATTAAGTTGTTGTTCCGGGGGTTCCCCTTTTTTAGTGCTGCTGCCTCTGTGCGGTAATAAAATGTTGGCTATTAATCACTTTTAATCGCGACGCGAACAAAAACAACGGAAAAGTTAAAGGCAAAAACTATTAAAGGACCTGCTGGCCCCCATTTTGCCGCTTCCATCATATGGAGCGGCACTGCAGTCAAGTTAAAGACATAAATTTTCAAGCATTTTGGGCAAAGATTAATTGCACAGCAGCCTTTTCTCGGTTCCGATGCGGGAAAAGCGTGGAAAAGCGGAAAACGAAGGAAAGACCTTGCCACATAAATTCAAAATCCAGTACCCGCTCGCTCCTTAACCCCTTGCTTGATTTAGAGCGTCAGGAAAACGCTTGCCGGGCAATTGAGTTGGTGACTTAAAGTCCAAGTGGCAGGATGAGTTGAGGGTTTTCCAAGAACTAAGGACAGGAACATCCGTTTGGTACGAAGGCTAAATCGTATTTATAAAACACAAGAATCGTCGGAAAAAATATGAGTCATAAAAAATGATTAAAAAGCAAGCATTTATCAGACAAATAATGTGCCTGGTAAACACGATCAATCAGATGGCCAATTAACACATATCGCTTTATTTCTGTGCATTAAATGAACATCCCAGAACTTTTTGTTTAGATTTGGCACCGAAGCATCGAATATCTTTCATATATCAAGATATGAAAATTATGGCCTCATCTGAGAAATGTATTATGTGCGAATTTATTGGGTTGATTCCAAATTATTATTTTATTAATGACGGCCATTAAGGTGAGGAATAATTGGTTAGATATTTTCGTTAATCCATGAACAACGGAATTTAGGTCCAACTTTCAGGACCGGAAAATATTTAATATCATGAAGCGCTAAAAATTCATATTCAAAAGCATTTGAGAAAGAAGCTTATTCAGCGAATACAAAGGATTTTTCTTATTTTAGCTACATTATATTGTCATAATACAGATAAAATGTTTAAGCCACTCTTTTTTTATGAAAAAAACACATATCTGGACGTGCTTATACGCAATACATGCAAATTTCACCGGTGTTGGTCATGATGTGTGGGCATTCAGAAATCTATCGACAATACGGACAATTAACAAATATTAATAAATATTTATAAATATAAATATACTGACATACCCTGACAGCTAACAATAATATTCAACTTGTATGCTTATTTCCCATTTTTTTGTTTTGTTTTGGAACATTCCGCTTTGTTTAAAGCCAACAATGGCTGGATAAACACAAATAAATAGCTAAAAAGTCAGGTGCAGATAATAAAGCAACAACACCAGACGCTGTTATTATAATTACAGCAACAATTAAATCGCGTACACCCGCAAAACCAACAACAACAAAGGCAAGTGGAGCGCCTAAAAATATGCAGCACGAAATAAATGGCCAAGACCCAGCCTTATATACACACTCAAAATAAATTTAACCCTAAATTTTAGAAAATCGCCATTAAAATTTCTTATTTCTAAATACAAGAAAGTTATTTCTAAATCTAAGGAAATTTTTCTTAAGTCAAGAAAGTTTTCCTTAAATCCAGGAAGTTTTTCTAAAATGTAGAAAATGGTTACCATGAACTAAGATCACCCTAAAATCTAGGAAAAATACCCTTAAAATTAGAAATTATTTTCTGAAAAATAGAAAGGCAAACAAAAGAATGAAATATTTTGGCAACGCCTTTTCTAAAAATGAGTGCCCTAACCCTAAAATTAAGCTAACCCTAAATAATAGAAACATTTCCGAAAAAGTAGAAAGTTTTTCTAAAAAATAGAAATAGTTGTTTTCACATGCTCTGGCACACCAAAATGTTCAATGCCAGAACTTGTCAGCTGTCGGGCGGCTGTACTCGTAGCGCAGACGGTTAAAGCACTTGGTTAACAATCGAATCGACCCTGGTTCGAGTCCCAGAGCAAACTATTTTTACCTTTTTTTTTAAGTTTTTTTTTTAGTTTTTTTAAATTTATTTTATTGTTTTTTTTAATTTGTTTTTTTTAATTTTTTTTATTATTCCTTTTTTTTATTGATGGCAAGCGGTAAACCGAAAATAATTTGGTTTATATTTAGCTATTTACTATATACTACACATAATATAAATTGCGATAGCATAAATATATGCATATGTATATACGTATGTAAATAAGTAAAACGCGAATGGTCAAAATTATGCAATTAGTATTCAAATGTGTTGTCCGCTTCACCCTTTACATACAATGCTCGGTTTGCCACAGCAAGTTTAAGTGCTACAATGGCCCAGTATGTAGGCCATTCGCTCCTCGCGCGGGAGACCCGGGTTCGATTCTCACGACGGACAAGTAAAAAATTGTAAGTTTTTTTCATGAACATAAAATATTAACTAATCATAATTTCTACATTCCCAATCTTCCGCAGTCCCGTAGTCCACATTTACAACCACATTTGGCTTTGGTTAGATAAGAAATCCAAGCGCAAATACATAATAATAAATACATAACCTTTAACATTCACAATATACAAGACACACAACGCCTGCATATGTATATAGGGAGGAGTACATAATATAAACGTATATACAAAAAAAATCATGATTGAACATGTTTTTTTGTTTTGTTTTTAATTTCTATTTTTTAGGAAAATTTCCTACTTTTTAGAAATTTTTGCCCTTAAATTTAGTAAAACTACCCTAAAATTTAGAAATATGACGTCAAAAAAATCAAAAATATAGAAAATTGTGACCCTAAAATTTAGGGCGAGCTTGTCTTGAAGACAAAAGTAGGGCGATTTCCTTGACTTTAGGGTTAATTTTATTTTGAGTGCAGGACACCACATCTACTCCAACCCTCCCAAGCAACATAATTAGCCTAAATTGAAGCAGGAGCCAGAAAGGCAGGGAGGACAAGAAAAAATGACAAAATATAATTAAAGATTAAAATGTTCTCTGGCTAAAAGCGGAATTTATGATGGCAAATTTTCAAGTCGGGAATTTCTGGTGAAACTCGGGAAGTCAAGCTGTGTTTTAGGTTCTTATTAAATGCTCCGATTGAATGTCTCAAGGATTTTCTATTTCTATTAGAAGTAAGGAACATAACTAAGATATAACTATATATTTAAAAGTTTACGGTATATTTATAAAGGTTATGTTAGCTGATAACATTAGCCAAATTTTTTAGTTTTTAAGGTAATTTTAGGTTACTATAAAAACTGATGGTATAAAAGTTTGACCCTTGCATTCACTTTAGTCCTTTAGTAACCATTCCCTTTTTTTTTGGTTGTTTCGACTATTTTTAATTTTGGTTAGTTTTGGGGTCGTCGGGTGATTACTCCTTGTGTTCCACTTTTCGCGCTTTAATTAACCGCAACCGCAACAGTTTTCTCAGTTTTTCCAGCAATAACAACAAATGCTTGACAAATGTTTTCGGCACGCAACAAATGCGGCACTTCAAGCTAAAGCTCAAAGATTTTCAATTTCCACGGCATGCACTTTGTAAGATTTTCATTGAAAACGTTTCTGATATTATTGCAGCCACACTTGCACTTTTTCGTTTTTGTTTGTGTAGTATTACGGTATTATTCTCCTTCTTTTTTGTAAACACGATATTACTTTTAGTGGCCACTCGCACAAACACACACAAGAGTTGGCGAGTGTGCGTGCGGTTCGTTTGACTCAGTATTCAGTTTCGGGTTTCGAAGGGCTCTTTCAAAAAGAGGGGTTTGAACTAACGCGCGCGACAAAAATGACGTGCGTTCGCCTCAAAGTTGAAATTGCGACTAAAAAAAACTCAAGTTCGCAGCGCCTAGTGCGCGGGTGGCGCCATCGCACGGTCAAACCGTGAAGCTGCCTTGGTGGAAGGTCGTTTGCAGAGAGAAAGCGAGAGAGTGAAAGCTCGGTGTGAAAGGCTTTGCTCTCTGGCTTTCTCCCTTCCCCTTGTTTGTTCCATTTCCAAATGGTTCAGATAACAGGGCTGAAATTAACAGCAGAACTTTCCTATAATAATGCAGGATGAGTGGGTACTTACATTCGGGACAAATGTTAAAACTAGGTACCTAGGAACGACAGTTTATTTTTGTCAATTCATAAAAACAATTTTTATTTCCTTCATTAATGAATCACCTGTTAGACAGCAAGGAAATGGTTATTTTAGGAAAAATATCCCTGTTTCACCTAATAAATCCCAATTAATGTCCGAAAAATAAATAAGATTTGTCATATGTCACCACACAGAGAAAATTATACATCGTTTTAGGTTCCGTTTTCATATAAAAACGTTTTAAAAATTAAAATGAAAACGTTTTAAAAATGCAAAGTAAAACAAATTTGAATGGAGCGTTTTACTTTTTAAAATGTTTCACCCCTTATTTTGCACCTAAAGCTTTTCATAATTTTCTCTGTGCAATATAAATTTAAAATTGTTGCATTTTATTTTAAATAGATAAAAATAAATATCTGTTTATTACAAAAAAATAAGAGCCACTTATAGTATTACTATCGTTAAGATGTTATAACAGAAAACATATTAAGTAGGTAAGTTAACATTATAAGTTTGGTAACAGCTCGCCTTAAGCTTTGAATATTTTGAATTGGACAGGACATCAAAATAAGGGGATTTTCCGTATCAAACAGAAACCTGTTAGCGTGTACATTTTGTAATATTTTTTATTGCGTATACAAATTTTAAATATATTTCTAAATTTATTAAAAACAGAGACGACAAAAATAAATTATAAATATACAAAATTTGTTAAACAATTGAAATGAACAAACAAATTAAACTATTGGAAATTAGTTTTCGTATTAATTCGTTCACCATGCCTAATTACCCATACGCACTGTTGGCCAACCAAAAATTCAAGGCTAGCGGAAAAATTAAAAAACTTGCACGTTATTATCTGGTGCTCAATTAAACACCATTAAACGAAGGACGGAGTAAAAAGGTATATGCAAATAAATAAAAACGAAAATACATATAAGCACAAATGAGTGTGGATGCGAAAATCAAATATAAATGGCGCTTTGCTTAATGAAATAAATGTAAATTTAACTGTCACTGTAAACCACTTAAAAATAAATATGAAAAATTATCACAATATTTAATGAACCAACAGACCAGAAAGCCAAACTCCAACTGATGACGTCAGAACAGATGGGGCGGGGCGGAAGGGTTTTTAAAATTATCCCTGATATATGACTTTATCTATGCGATGCACACAACTGAAGGGGAGGACTGGGTTAAATGAGCGACTTTTGTTTGCCCAACGGCAATGACAATGAGCAAAAATGGAATTCAAATTGAAAATGAAAAATAATGCAAATAATTGCACTTTGTGCGCATTAATCGAGTTAAAGTTTCGTTTTGCAATGCAAATTTAAAAATGGATTCAAAGGAAAGCAAACCTACTGACCTTTTCAAGACTCATCTCTGGATTTTGGACCAACTTAGTTTCCTGGTTTTCTGCTGACCACAGCTGTATCATACTACATCTTCAAAATAGCACTGAGAAAAATAAAAGAGAACATCATTAGAGATAATAACTTAATACAAGGAAACTATAATCTATTCTTATTTTAAAAAAGTGTAGTAAATTAAAATTTGTAACCAACCTAAAATATTGCTTTTGTAACACTACAATGACATAAAGAAATATTCCGATAATTGTAACAAGTACCTATACCTAAAATCAGTTAAATCATGGCAATTTGTTCTAATATATTAGAATTATTTACTAAATGTTCTCCTATCATATTTACATTTTTCTTTTGTGCATTCTCCTTTTGCTCATTCCTACTTTTCTGTCTGTAAAATCCCTCTGGGTCAGTGGCAATTCATTCCTATGCCGGATTGAAATCGGTGCAGCACTTGAAATTTTTAAGCTTATGTGGTACTCAAATGAAGCCTGAGCTATGATAGGGTTAAAGGGTTAAAAGGAGGGCCAGCAAGAGGATACAACGCTCCTCTCTGTGTGCTTAGCTAATGTTTCAGGCTGGCTTAGATAGCCCTGGAGAAGATTTCATATCCAACCAGAAACATTTGTGGCTGAAATAGCCAAGTCCGAGGTCAGCCAACTAAAGCACTAAAAGAAATATAGACCTTTCAAAATGCAGATAAAGAAAAGCAAATCAAAAAACAATTAAATACTTTAGACTGCTAGATTTAATCAATCAATAGAAAACAAGGTTTTATTCCATTTACCATAAAAGTGTAAATATTTATATAACTTTTATGTACACATTATACACACCATGCTAGTATAATTAAATTATTATTTAACTAAGAACACACATAATGTTATCGGTATATCTGCAAGTCCTTTATTATACTGCTTTTGACATTCGGAAAATATTCTATATTATTATTTTTATCCGTATCAATGGACTCCCCCTTCCCCAAAATGACACCCCCTGCCCACTGCCAAAAAATAATTTTCACTGCCATAACTTTACCCGCAGCTGTCATAAAAAATACGCGCAAAAGAATACTTTTCGGTCTGGCCCAAAGGGGCGCGGAATTGGGAGTGGGTAGGGTTAAGGGCACACACATAAATTAATACGAAATACACTTAAACAAGAGAAAAAGGGAAGAAAAAGTTTTGTACTCATTGATTTATAGCGTTAATATTTCTGCTTTAATGCATCAAATAAATTAAATTGTCTTACGCACCTTTCAGCAGTTGAAGAAGGGAAAACTTTGATGCCTTTTGAGGGGCGGGGGCGTGTCTAACAGAGCATTATTTCCAGCAAGAAAAGAGCGAGCAGCAAATGCATAACTTCGATTTCGTAAAAACAAATAAATATTCATAAAAAATTATTCCACTCTCTCCCCTCACATTCAGTTGTCTCTTTTTTCTTTCAAAAAAAAAAAGAAAGAAAAAAGCACTTTGCGGATCTTCAGTCGCCGCCGCTGTTTTGCATACTGAAGGAAAAAGTATGGGCAAAAGGCGTTTGAATTATAAATATTCATTTATGCTAAGCAAGGTGTTCGTGGGCGGAGGCGTAGGGACGAGTAGTGGGGAGGGTAGACTTCTCCAGGTGTATTTTGGGGGCGTTGCCTTCGTCACGCCTGTTGCCTCCCCTTTGCCACTCGCTTTTTTGGCTGTTCCTTTCGCTTCTGTTTCTGTCTTGGCCTCTTTACCAACAGGTGTATGATTGATTTAATTACGGCGTAAGGTGTGTTTTTCCACCCAGCTTTCTATTTTTGTTAGTGCTGGGTAGATCAAATATGCTATAGGCAGTAGCCTCTTTTTTGAAATTATCCAAAACAGTCCATTACTTTATTTGCATTATTCTAAAAATAATTCTTGGAATCAACAACAAACAACATAAAAATAATGGAAAATAATAGGGTAGATATATGGACAGAAAATAACCCTTTTTTGTATGTCCTTTAAATTAAAATATGAAGCAAAAGAATCATAATTTTACCTGAAAACTTAGTAATGTTGTTATGTTTTATTGATTTCTTTACGTGGTTCTTTAAAATTAAAAGTCCAAAATAGTAATAGACCTACTTATCTAAAAAAAAATTTTTTTGAGACTTTTTTTTTCTTGGGAGATTAAAATTATTAATTAATGATTTTTTTTTAAAGACAAACGATAGAAAATATATATAGCGTAAAGTTTTACTTAATAGAGTGTCAAGAAGTGCAGAGGTTCGGATCCGATGTATTTTGATCCTATATCTAAGGAAAAATATTTCTATTTTTCCTTAGATATTGACCCCAAATCGACTGTCGGGTTGCACGTAGAATGAGCCATCTTTCAAAAATATTTTTTTTTATAAGCTCACAGATGCAAATTTGTTGAAAAAAATTGTGTTGGCATAAACATTTTTGCCATAATCTCTAAAAATTATTATTTAATACATTCTTTGTTAAGTTTGAACTTTTTTATCAGCTTTTTGTGTGTATATTTAGAGCGGCGTTGGTTGATCTCTAGTATTGGGGACTTTCTTTTTTATCGCTTGTCTGGACTTTAATAATCTAGGTAGGTCATTAAACTCGTCGCCCCCCCTCGCTTTTCCCAACGGATTGCTTATCGCAAAACAACCAAATGCTTGCAATTTATGGGCTCTGCTCATTGTTGTTGCCTTCACCGCTGCTGTTCGGCCACTGCTGTTAATGCCGAATGAAAAGCTCGGCTAAGCGCCAACGCCCGCATCTACACATAATTTCCGTTTTCCTTTGTGGCGCCCACAGCATCGGATGGACAAAACGGGGGCGTGGCACACGGGAAACAAACAAGCGGCAGTCGTACTTCATGTAATCAACATTTTAATTGCGGAAACGGAACTCGCACACACACACGCCCATTCAACGTGGCGTATGTGAAGTATCTGTTACACATTACGCATACGCAATGTATGCTTCACTCCGTTTTGTTCGTTGGTTTGTTTTTTGCTATGCAGCCCACCAAAGAAAACACTTTCCTCTTTGCCATTTTTTGTGGCACACTTTCTCTGCCAATCTCAAATTTAGTTTGCCTTTCTTTCTCGCAGGAATTCATTACATCAAATATAAAGAAAGTTTTAGGCAATTTGCCAGAAATCCCAGGGAAAGAGAAAAGTGAGGGCAGCTAAATTCCATTTCCCTCCCGCAGCGCTTCCAAAAAAAAGGGGATATACTATATATACCCACTCAAACCCTGTAGCTGCAGCATAGCTGCATGCAGGTAGCCCAAGTCTACTTAGCTGATGGCGGTCGCCCGGGGAAACGTAAAAGGGGGAGTGGCTAGGTAAACGTAAACGAATTTGCGAATATTCAGCAGCCGTGGCAGCAACATCAAACTAAACCAAGGAGTGCCAGAAAGGTGTCGCTTTTAAGGTACTCTTTTAAATTATCCAAACTTCAAAAAATTGAGACTACAAAAGAAAGCAAAATATAATGATTGTTTTTTTGTGTACGGTTTATTTTATTTTTTTATATAACTTTAGGTACTTTTAAGATTTATTTTATTATTGCAATGATTAAATTGATAAGTTTCTTTAAAACAGTTTTTTGGGCTCATGCTAAAAAAAAGTGTACTAAATTAATGAACTATAGTGATCTGTTTACAGATTTAAACCAAAATCACACCACCAATCCTATTTAAAAGAATATATGTTTGTCAATTTAATCCCTCTGCACATCCACCTCAATTACGCTAGTCTGTCAAGATCCGACGACAACTTGCTACCCCTTCCGCTATAGAGACAGATATCCTGCCGACCACTCCCCTTCGTCATGCAACTTCTAGCCATCTTACTTTCGCCGCCACTTGCCTTATAGATGGCAAGCCAGTTGCCGAAACACTTGAGCGACAATGGCAGGCGCCACAGCTCGGGGCTAAGCAATGCAGACGAAAGCCCAAAAGCCTCGAACCTCGATCCCCGCGGGTCCTTCGGCAAGGATGCCCTGTATTTTCGTCTCCCGCTCGCCAGTTTCCACTATTTTTTATGGCTGCATCAACAGCAGCAGCAGCAACAGACATGATAAATTCTCTTTAGTATGCGGCATACATGAGTGATGATATTAACCAACAACAGGCACCTTCCTCGGGCTAAAAACGGGTAACGGGATAGTCAGCCAAAAAGGGAGAATCGCTTGAATCTGCACCTTCCCACTCTAATTTTGTTTTTCCAGCCGGTAAGTGTTCAGGGCCGCAAGGAGGTATTTGGCATACTGTGTATAGATGGTGTTGGAGTTGATGGCTGCAGTGAAAAGTTTAGTTTTTAACTGGGAAAAAAGGGCAAGCTAAAGAGGATGAGTATGATTTACGCTTAAGGAGAAATCCATATTAATCCTGGTTAACCTTAATAAAATTCTAATCAAAATACACCACGTTTATGGTATGAAAATCATGACTTCATGCTAAGTATATAGGTGCTCTGAAAAATGAGATAGAACACAGTAGTCACCCCAGATAAAGTATTTAAAGATTCTCTTATACAGTATCTCGTATTTCTTTGCATTCTTTCCTCAGGTGATAAACCTAATAATATTATTAACACTAGTTTACAGCTGAAATACAAAATACAAAGGATGATTGCAGTTCCTGGTGCGTTTGGACCCCTAAATCTAAAAAAATTTAATCAATTTAAAGGCAAACATGTTAAATCAATCGCCATTTGGGGCTTCCGTGTACAACCAATGACACTGGTCGTTGATCCTAAAGCCCAATTTTGTAAACAGGTTTAACGATGCCTTATTTTCTGAACCCACTTCGGTGATTGTGTCACGTCCTTGCACAGCCTCTCTTCTGGAATATTCTTTCACAATCATAGCGCCAAAACCTCGACGTTTGTAAATGGGTTTGACTTGCAGGGCTGCCAGTAAACCATCCTGAACTCTGTTAAAAAGCAATAGTTAAGAATATATTTTGTCCGGATCTAAATCTTAAATATTTACCTAATACACCAAGCCACGAGTTCATTATTTTCGTCTTTATACAAGCCCACACTGGTATTGTAACCAATTTGGCGTTGAATATACGAAAGACTGCCACTCAGTTCACTCCATTCCCAATTGTTGTTAATTACGTAAGCATCGTCCAGACTTACAGATTTCAAGGAAAAGCCAACTGTTGCTCTATCAAAATTCTTAAATTAGTTGAAATACATAGATCATTCTACTTTATATGTACTTACTCCACCTGAAAGTATTGTGCTTCTTCTTTGCTTAAAACCATAGAATAGGTGATACTATCGAGTTGTAATTTCAGATTTTTCTCCTGAATAATATCATTTGCAACAGTCAAATATCTTTTTGGCATAGAGGCGAATTGTTCGCCGCCAAAGAAGTCCAATTTCAATAAGGATTCCTTCAGAACACTTTCAGATCTTTCAGCTTCCAAAAATACCACAAAAATTTGATGACGATCCTTTCCGATTCAAATAACAAAAAAATAAAAAAACAAGAGAGAATGCTTTAGTCGGGTGCCCAAACTATCAGATACCCGTTACTCAGCTTAAGAGATTGCGAGGGAGATGGAGATATAAAACTTTGATAGCACGTAACTTTTTAACGTACGGTCAGATTTCTTCTATATTTCGATAGGTATTAATAAATATGTACAATAAAACTGAATTTTTACTTTGCCGAAGCCTTGAAAGCAGCGGTCGGCAGCGCCCTATTAAGTGAGAATAGGGTTTTGTTCTGCAAGCGCGCTGCTCGCACATGTATAACGTAGAACAGCGGTCTGCACACACACATCGATGAGCTGCCCAGTGCAAATTACTCACACAAATATAAAACAAAATGTCAAAGTATGTGTGTGCCGACCGCTGCTTTAAAGATGTGGGCGCCAGACACCTTTTAAAATCGTTTTAGGGGATTGTGGGGGTTAAAGGGGACGTGGCCCTCGGCTGAAACAAACTTGCGCTGTGTAGGAAGCCAAAGAATATTTGTGGGTAATCCCAACATTCTTGCTTTTGTAGTTTCCGAGATCTCAGCGTTTATACGGACAGACAGATAGACAGTGATGGCCATATCGACTCTGCTAGTGACCCTGCTCAAGAATATATATAATTTATAGGGTCGGAAATGCTTCCTTCTAGCTGTTACATACTTTTGCACGAATTCAGTATACCCTTTTACTCTACGAGTAACCGGTATAAAGATCGCACAATTTAAGAAAAATTTATCACACTCATACCACGATCACAAATAATCCTAGTCCTAGATTGGGAAGAGTGTAAACTTTCACATCCTCCAGTTGAGTGTCCCATTTATGCAGATCCAGAAAATTGTCCAGGCAGTAGTACTCTTTGCAATATTTTGGCCAATCTCGAATGAACAAACTTTTAAGATCCTCCAGCTGCTGGATTACTTGTGCTAGGTGATCCATTTTGAACTACTTACTATTTCGAACTGATTCCTATGTTCAATTTTTACTCTTAAGTAGCTAACATGAAAATCTTTGGTATACTTAGGTTGAAAGCCCCAATGATAAGCAGGTATGCCTGCAAGGGTTTCATTGAATGGGTTTGGATTTTTCCAGTCCTCATATGTTATCGCTAGCACCCCTTGCAGGTAAACAGAATGCTGGGATTAAAATGTATTATCTTGGATTGTAAAAGTAAATACTTGTACATATCTATATAGTGTTTTTATGTGTGAACAACAAACGATCAAAAATCACAGGTAGTTTCATCATTTCTCAATATGTTTATAAGCGCCTACACAGAGAAAATTATACAACGTTTTAGGTACCGTTTTCATATAAAAACGTTTTAAAAATAAAAGTGAGAACGTTTTAAAAATGCAAAGTAAAATAAATTTGTATGAAACGTTTTACTTTTTAAAATGATTTTCTCTGTGTAGTCTAGATCTATCTAACTTAAATTAAATATCATTCCAAAATCATATAGAAATATGTTTTTATCAAGTTTCAAGCTTTTGACAGCAAAGAATTGTCCATATGTTTTTTGAGCTAAAAATTAGAGCTATGTAGTTCCAAAACTTTTTTTTATATCAGCATGCTTTCGTTTAAATATCAAGCTTATACTTTTTATTGACTCTGCGTTTCATTTGTCCGTTATTTATTTTGTAGTCGTTCCTTGTTTTTTTTGAGTTTTCGCTGTTTTATGATTTAGACCACTATGAGTATAATTCAGAGAACCTCATATTCGTTGGTAACCCCAACTACACCACACTCCATAGAATCCATAGAGCCAAGATCCAGGATAGGATCTACTATATTGATAGAAAACGAAACGATAGAAAAGAAAAAGACTGACATTAAATTGGCATCAAAGACGGTAACCAAAAAGTTTCTCAAAAAAGGGCCAGCTAAAAGGGAGAAGACTTCAGAAGCTACAAGGACTCGTGTTAAAAAAGGACCACTAAAGGGGGCCAAGAGTCCGCGGAGCAAGGTACTGTCGCGAAATAACTCGCCGACGATCGTAAAGGACGGGAAATCCAGGGGAAGTTCTAGAGAAGCGTCACGGAGGTCGAGCCAGAAATTCAATTTCCGTGATCGCTCCTCTAGGAGTTTACTTCTCGATTCCCCAGCGAATCGGACGAGTTTGTTCTCTTTGGCCTCGGATATATCCCTTTCATCCAGATTATCCACGAGTTCGCGAAGACACAAAAGCAGGGCTATCAGAAGTAAGTCATCAATAACCAAGACAGGATATTGGGGTCGCCATAGGATACATCTTTTAAAAACGGAGAAGCCACAGGAAGCAGATGATGTGCAGAAAGATAACTCAGATGCGGACAATACACAAATAGAATTTGTGGAATCGTCAGAATCCGATTCGGTAGAGATAAATACTATCTCAGATAGCGATTCTAGAAAGGCTCTTACTAGCATTTTATCAGGTTCTGAGACCGAAACAGAGTCTACTCTTTCGGAACTGGAATGTGGCCTTGAAGAACCAGAGCACGATGGACAAGCTGAGAGACTTAATTTTCTGCAAATATTTGGCCGCCTTCCCGACATAAACCTCTTGTCGGCTAGCGGCAGTGCCGAGATCGTACACCCAAAAAAAAAATCCTGAGTGTCAAATTAATACTTGTGGTTTAAAATGACACTGCCCCTAGGATCAAATTTTTGGGGTCAATTTGCCCCCAAATGAGTGTCAAAAGTATACCACGTTTTCAGAAAAATCGTATTTGATACTAAATAGTGTCATTTTGATAAAACTAGGTTCACATCGATCCCAATAATTATCATTTTTGGTTTTCGAAGTTCGAAGTTCGGCGATGTTTTACTCGAGTATCGATTTTGTTTATACTTGTCAAGAGTTCGCTCGCGCGCAAAACGGTTCGATGGCCCAGTTGGTAAGGCGTCTGCCTCTGGTGCGCGAGGTCCCCGGTTCGAAACCCAGTTAAGTCGGAGTAGGTAAAAAGGTTTTAAAATGCATATATATCATTTTAAGAACAAAAATGTTAAGTTGTGTTAGATTACTGATAAAAAAAAAATAATAATGGTGTTTCGAGCGGGATTCGAACCTCGTTCCCCGAGCACAAAATAATATCAGAACCTAGCGCCTTGGCCCCTGAGCCATGCCCATATTAATTTTTGCCATGGCAGAATGGTTACAGGAGCTTTCAAGCAAATGTCAAATTTTATTTAATCCTAAGAAAATGACACCGGCTAGTGGCTCTTTGACACCAAAAAGGGTCAAATTAATATTTTCGAAAGTATTAAAGTGACACCAGAATAGGGTCAATTTAATGACGTTCGGATCAAGATTTTTCCACTCAATAGTGTACATTGACACCTAAATAGGGCATATTGATGACTACTTTTTTTTGGGTGTAGAAGTACCCAATCAGGAGGGGCGATTCCTGCCAGCCTTGGACGTAGGAAGCTATAGATCAAGAGAGACGGACAGCTCAACGGATCTCGAAGTGGAGGAAGAATACATCGAAAATCCAGACCTAAGAACATTCAGCTCTGAAATCAGTCTAGGCAGTCTTACCGATGGTGACGAGGAAATCGAAATCGAAATAGTGCCACAAAAAATACCGGATGAGGATGTAAGTGAATATTTACTGAGCATTCGTCCCAGAACAACGATCTTCAGTGATACCTCGCCGATCGATGATGAAGTCAGCTTGGCCAACGCGGAGGTTATCGAAAACTTTCTTATCGTCATAATAAACGAAGTGGTGGAGTACGCTGAAAGAACTTCAGTGCGAAGGGGGCGTGTAAGTCGACTGCTGGACAAGGAGAAAATGCTGGAGGAGCTGCATCATTTGGTCATCGACTACCAATCCGAGCTGCACCGAAACCACGGTCTCGAAAAGGTCACTACGGAGTATTATGTGAGGCGTAAGGAGTTCGACCTGGTCATCGTACCCAAGCAAATCGATACAATCTATCGCGAGCGACTTATATCAGCTCAAGTGGAACTCGATAATCGCTTGGAGCAGATGAAGCAGACTGAGGAGTTATGTCACAAGCAAATTCAGGACTTAACCGAGGAGCTCGCTGTTTCTCGCAGCCTGAATGCCGAGAAAGTCACCCAATTCGAAGCGAAAGTCAGAGAAACTCTCTGTAAAGAAGGTTGCGATCACTTGAAACTGGTCATTGAGGATCTGTTTCGAAAAATGAACACAGTTCGCGATGAAATGTCTCATATGCGAGGGGAATTGATTTTCATTCAGCACCGATTGCAAGCCTTAAAAAATGTGAGAACATTTATTCAATCTAATTTAAAATTTTAATTTAAGTAATATTTTAGAAATCGGAAAAACTGGAAAATCTTGGTAATGGTTTGCGAGTTCTTGAATATATTTCCAATCAGGGCAGCAATTACGCGCTGAAACAAAAGCTTGAAGGTAAAACTTTAACATAATATAATATAGTAAAATATTATTGAGGGTATTTTAATTTTAGTCACAACTTTGCTATGCAGTTTAGAAGACGTTTTATACCCTGTTGTATAAATATTCTCTATCAGCATCACCTAATGGGCCGATCTGTCCTTCTGTTTCAATGTCGTGGCTAGTCATATAGTTTAATAATAGTTAAATAGCTATCTATTTGATCTGATTTTTTGATTTGATATTTTTGGCTATATTTTAAATATTTATTATAGTTTTAATGCAACATCCCAATTATTTAATTTTTTTGCAATAATAATGGTACATTAAATCTTTTTTAAAAAATAAACAGTTAAGTTTATTTTACATAACTCCAAAAAAAGTAATACGACTTATAAATCTTCAACTATTTTGAACCCACAAAGATAGAGATTTGGAGCTGAAGCGGTTGCGCGAACGTCAAATTCACGCTTTCCATGCGATGGCCCATTGGATGAATAAAAAGAAAATGAACGAGGAATTGCTGCACCCACGAAAAAAAAATCCTGAGTGTCAAATTAGCAGGAGTGGTTTAAAATGACACTGCCCCCGGGATCAAATTTTTGGGGTCAAAGGTTGCCCACACAATGAGTGTAAAAAAAGTACTACCACGTTTTCAGAAAAAATCGGCTATTTGATACTAAATAGTGTCATTTTGATAAAACTAGGTTCACATCGATCCCAATAATTATCAATTTTTGGTTTTCGAAGCTCTCATCGAAGTTCGGCGACTGTTTTACCGAGTATCGATTTTGTTTATACTTGTCAAGAGTATTGCTCGCGTGCAAAACGGCACTGCGATGGCCAAACAGTTGGTAAGGCGTCTGCCTCTGGTGCGCGAGGTTTCGCGGTTCGAGAAGCCCAGTTAAGTCGGAGTTCAGGTAAGAAAGTTTTTTGTTGGGATTTGTTGAAAATGCATATATATCATTTTAAGAACAAAAATGTTCAGATTGTTTTATGAAGAAATTGAAAAGATAAAAACTAATTATCAAGTTTTGACGCAGGGAATTTCAAACCTCGTTCCCACGAGCACAAAATAATAAATAAACTAGAGCCTTTGGTTAGCCATGCATCCATATTATTTTTTTGCTTTCAAGGCAGAACTGGTTACAGGAGCTTAAAATCAGGCAAATGTCAAATGGTTTATTTAATCCTAAGATTTAAATTTGACACCGGCTAGTGGCTCTTTGACACCCAAAAGGGAGAATGTAATATTTTCTAATAGTTTTAAAGTGACACCAGAATAGGGTTGCAATATTTAATGACGTTCGGGTTAAAATCAAAGATGTTTTTCCACTCAATAGTGTCACATTGACACCTAAATAGGGGCATATTGATGACTACTTTTTTTTGGGTGTGAGAAAAATGAAGGCTAAGCTAAAATCGCAGGAGCAACTGAAGAAGGATCTCCGGGATAGTCTCTTCAAGGAAAGGGTGCAACACAAGCATCTAAAAAAACAGACTACGAAGCTGAAAACAGCCGGCTGTCTGATGCATTATCCGGATTTGCTGCGGGACTACGATGCAACTGAAAGCCACTTGAGGACCAAGCGAGTGTTGGTCAGGAAGCTCTACATAGAACACAACCGCCTGGAACAGAAAATATCAGAGGTTGATGCCAGTATTGACCGTTTTACCTCGGCACTGAGATCCAAACATAGCTTTTTCTTCGGCTCCTTGAGGTTTAGCAGACAAAGGAGGCAAAGTTAACAATTTCAATAATAAAAGTTTTTAACAGGCATTTGTTGAGGAAATTACCACTTGAATTATTCTTAATGAACATATCACACCGATTTTTTTTATGAAGAAATTGAAAGATACAACCTGTTATCAAACTTTTTGAACGCAGTGAATTTCAAAACATTCCAAGATTCAAAAATATAAATAAACTAAAGCATTTGGTATAATAATGCAATAAATAGTATTTAGTAGTAGTGTCTATTGTATTTATCAAAGCTAGAAGCTAGGCTTGAAGAACTACAAATGAGGTAAATCTCGTTTGGATTAGTTCATTCAGATTTTAAATTCTGAACTGCAGTTTCACTCCGAAACCCAAAAAATGTAACATTATGTAATTAATTTCAAATTAACATATGTTTGCAATATTTATTTGTATTCTTCGGTGTTAAAATATAAAAATGGTTTTCCATATGCAACATAAAAATAATTTGTTGTTAACCAACGAAGTATTAAACTCCTGACTTACAAAGCTTCGCAGGGCACTGCTTAATTCGTATGTATAGAAAAGTCATGTTCTGCATCTTTTGGCAGATGCCATATATCTTAGTTCCCAGGCATTAAAACAAGACTACAGAAACATTGGATACATAGTCGACACACTGGCAAACGTATATCTATGGGTGCAACCACTGGGAGTGTATTAGTCAGTGGTGAATTGGAGGCAGCTTCCGAGGATGAACCAAGCAAAATGCAGATGAGATGGGGGCCGAGAGGTACAAGGCAAAAAGGGTGTGGGTCGGGAAAGGGCGAACTCCCAGAGTCTGTCCAGGCTCATGTCCGTGTCTGGTTTGGCCTGCTCCTTGGTATGCACATTTCATGTTGCACTTAAAAACAAAAAACGAACAGGTGAGCGCAGGTATGTTCGAGGCAAGGCTGTTGAGTGGGGGACTTTCGGAGGGTGGCGGTGGCTCACACAAACATGTGGCGAAAACTAATAGCAAAAAAGAGGAAGCACCGGCATCCAGCAAAAACCGAACCAAAACGAACCGAGTTGGGTTAATGGCAAAGGTGCTGATGCTGCTGCTCCAGCTGAATTTGCAGCACCCTTTGACCCCGAACTAAGCAGCCCTTGCCCATGACACCCCATCTCCGACTGAAAACCTACCCTGACTCTGGAATTTTTTTTGTTTTTGTGACCAACATTAGATGTAGCACAGGTGCATGCTTCCACTGGGAAAAATAGAATTTCCGTATTAAATTATATCCAGCACTCTTTGGGAACTAAAATATTTTACTTCGATCTAAATAGCGACGAATTTTAAGCTCGAATTAATTTAAATATTCGTTTTTAAAAAATATGTAATTTTTGGGTTAATAAAATAATAAAGGTAATATCTAAAATTATATTTTATAACCACTAAATAATTGTTTTCTATGTATAGATTTTTAAGAGTGTCCTTATATGTGTTTTTAGCACGCATGTTCCAAGCGCTTATCACCATCGTCGGCTGCTGTTAAAAGAGGTTAGAAAAGTAGGATTTTTTTGCGGGGAAACGTGTGGGCTAAAGAGTTAAAGGGACTTGCACAGGATAGGAGGGATGGTTAAAAGAGGATGGTGTGGGATTCTTGGCAAGCAAGACGAAATTCCGTTAGCTAAATTCGATTTTGCACTTGAGCCGCTTGCAGACCAGCTAATGCAGAGAAGCGACCTTCTGCCAATTCCTTCTTTTTTCACTACTTTACCCCTCTGGTAAAACCAACTTTAACCTCGATGCCCAAGTGGAAGCTGTGAAAAAAATGTTAAAAACTAAAGCTAATGCGCTTAGTCAAATGGTTGAAAAACAAGAAGTGAGATTGAGAACTTTTCCTATCAATTCAATTAAATTATTGGTAAATTAATGGCCTCGCGTCCGCTAAAGTACTCAATAGTAAACAAAGGTCGATTAAATCACTAATTAATTTTCTTCTAGTTAGCCTAAATAGTATTTAGAGAATATTGTAAGTACTGTTTTTGATTAGTTATTAGTTTATCTCAGATAAAATACGAAGTATACGGAGTAAACTCAAAAGTCCCGAATTTTAGAAAATTTGGGTCAATGGCGATATTTACATAAAATTCAGACAAATGTTCTGTCCTGAGGAAAATGTTGTGCAAATAAATATTTTACTAAATAAAAAAATTTGTTCTGAAATATAAATAATTAAGTAAGACGTCAGGTCGCCAATAAAAGCAATTTGAAAGATATGTTAATGTTTATAGTCATTTAGAAGTTATATAATATTTATGCATTTCAAAAAAGTACCAATGGAACTAAAATAGAAAAGAATACAAAGGAAAGGTGCCTTATTAGAATTAAGTATTTATTTATTACCTTTCTTTTTATTGAGAGTGTAACTTTTTAAGTTACCCTCTGGAAGCAGTCACATTTTCTTGAGGGCGGCATACTTTTGCACACTGAAAGCAATTTGAGGTAATCAGCAGCACACTCACACTCTTAGAGATAGACACACAAATGTATTTAGGGTGGACATATGCATTGCACGTCTAAATTTGCATCTTCAATCTGCAATTCGGTCGAACGGAAGGCGAGGCTAAATAGATATATATCTATGGCCCGGCATCTGTAAGCCAATTTCCGCTGGCTATATCCGCTGCCAATATATCCGCCTCTGTCGTTGCTGCTTTGCATTGCAGTATAATGTTGTTGTTTCAGCAAATGCGGCGCTCAATTAACGCATCCTGGCTTTTTTGGGGCATTTCCTCGCGATGCACTTCCCTATCTGGCTCCAAAAATGTGGGTGTCTTCTCTCCTCCTGTAGGTGCTTTCGCTATATTCGCAATTATCATTTAAGTTAAGTGATCAAGGTTAAAATTCGTGCAGAACGAGTTCGGTAAGAATAAAAAAAAATAAATAAATAAAAAAAATAAAAAGCTTTCAAAGCTACGATTTTCAAAACACTTACTTTTAAGTTAAATACAAATTTGCTTAATCTCCATAGTACACATCAAAAAACGAGCAAATGAACATTTTTACGTTACGGTATCTTAGCTGTTCTAAAAATGTCGTAAAGTATTATATTAATTTGCACAAAAAGAACCTATAAGCATGGCAAAGTAAACAAATAAGTTCTTTAAAAAATAAAGACAATTATTTATGCCACTGAATTGCATAAAGATTTTATGGCGTGGCCACATACATTCGCCACTCACTGTCTGCCGCAAATTTGATTAAGCTGCGCAGCGATTTATGCTTGGAAATTATTTATAAATAAATCTAGCTAACTATTTGCCTGCAGCTCGCGGTGGCTTCGTCAGGGGGCGAAGAAGGACGTCAGGCCCTTTCTGTTGGCTGCCACGCCCCCTCCGCCCATATGGTGCATGCCACTTAAAGCGTGCCGCTTACACACACACACACACGCAGAGTGGAACATTTTGAGTAATAAACTCATTTCATATGCTGACTGCTTTTTCATTTCAAAACTTTTTTTCGCTCTTTCACTCTTTTGGTTTTCCTGTTGTTTGCCTCTTGTTAGCGGGAAAAGCGGGAAAAGGATATGGGGGCAACTTCTACAGCAGGGTCAAATGATATACGAGTATGAGCTGTGTTCCCTTTTTTTCCAACTCCAGTTCGGAACCCTTTTTTCAGCTACCGTTCCTTGGCTTTGGCTGGAGAGTTTCTGCAGTTTCGGTTGTTGTTTCGTTTCGTTCCGTTTCGCTTGAAACTTGCAACTTGCAACTTGTATGGGAAATATTAAATATGCATACGCTAAATGCAGTCGACTGCGGCATCCGTGACTGCAACTGCTCCCGTTCCTGTTATTGTTGCTGTTTATGTAGTTTTTATACGTGGTAATAGGTGAGCTTGGAGGGTATATTATTTCTAACGAGGCTCATATACTATAAATATATTTTTTGTACCATACACTCATAGAAATTTTTACCTAAATACTAGAAAAGTCGCCCTAAAACCGAGGTCGCCCTAAAACTACGGAAAATTTCCTTATTATACGGGTGGCTAGCCCAAAATATACGAAAAATCGCCATGGAAAATATTTTTTAGGGTTAGTTTTTTCAAAAAGGCAAATTTTTCCTGTTTTTTAGGGCGAGTTTTTATGAGTCGACTCAAAAAGTTATTCCTTCTTTTTATGGCGAAATCGCCCTAAAACGTTGAACAAAATAGCAAAAAAAATGTTCTGAAATTGCCCTAAAAACAAGGAAGAGTCAAACGAAATTTTAAGACCCAGTTAATGGATACATATGTAGTGCATGTGTGTATGTGTGTGTGGTTGACAGGTCAAAACAAGTGAATGTGTGTGTATGTTAGGGCGGACCTTTTTCGATGAATTTTGATGCTGAGCGCATTTGACTTTAGAGAAGTCCACCCTTTTTCTTCATCTTTGCTACTTTTCGTCCGTTGCAGTGGCAAGGGTGGGGGTAGAAAGAGTTGCATTGTCTAGCCTTTGACACAATTTTTCGGACGCTTGGAAGTGAATGACGTGTTTTTGAGTAACTATTTGTTTGTGAGAAAGTAAAAAATGGAAACGGTATTAAAGGACTTGGAAGGCGATGCTTTCTCTGTTTTCTGGTGAGTACATACATATATAATTGTGCAATTTGGATATTAATAACTAATTGAATTTACATATCTGTAACAGAGGAAAATGCAGCTGAAACTTAAAAAGATTTGACTGGAAGCAGCGGTCCAGATGTAGAGTTTTGGAAGTGTGGCAGAACAAAGTAAGAACATTAATAAAAGTATACATATATGCATGTGTATATGTAAATAATGCTTGAGGTAAAAAGATGATGCAACAGAATACACACATGTGTACAGATGTATATATTTACCAGAAATCTGTATTTATGCACCGGACAAACCGCATTCACAAGTGCATATGCCAAAATAACCCCCAAATTTCTATTGCGTCATTTTGTCAGTAACCGAAATTTGCTTTTGTTGCTTCTTTTTTCCAGAAGTAGCAGCAAACGCAATCGCAGGCTAAATGACTGTTAGTAGTGCATTTTTATA